TGTATTTGACATTGATCCACTTTTAGTAATATCTATCTATCTGTCGTCAGCGATCAACGTGAATCATGTATTTGTTAACAATTATGAATCGCTCAAGTTCATTTCGATTGAATCACATCGTGAATGAAGATGCAAAAATTTGAAGTCATTCACGAATGTTCAGGTAACTAACTCAACCAACGAATCAAAAGGAATGCGTTTGAGTGCATTATGTTCATTTCGATGCAGTCAGCAGTTACGTCGTGTGGTTGATGGCAAGTGGACAACAACACATTACATAAAGCATAAACGTGAGAATGATCCGAGATGGAAGGGTATCGATATGACACGTGTATCGGATGATTATGATGTCGCGATTGTGGGCGGTGGACCTGCGGGCATGTCTGCCGCCATACGTTTACAGCAGTTAGCACAAAAAAATAGTAAAGGTTCGTCTCAAGTGATTCGTCAAAGTGATGACAATTTGTAAAAATCCCTTTCCAAAAAGTTTTGCGCATAGTATCAAAACTTCAGAGATACGGGTATGTGTCGTTGAAAAAGCACCCGAAATAGGTGCACACATCCTGTCCGGAGCTGTGATCGATCCACGTGGCATGGACGATCTCTTTCCGGATTGGAAGACCATGAATAGTCCGGTTTATCAAGAAGTCACGGTAAGGTTTCAACTGATCACATGCCGCTCGATTTTCATTCGTCAACTTTGCCATTTGAATAATTCCTCTAAAAATCGCCTGCAATAGTTCGCATTTGTTTTCAGTCTGAATCAATAGCGATTCTCACGGAAAAGAAACGCATTCCTGTTCCCTCATTACCGGGAAATCCACTGTACAATCATGGAAATTACATTGTTCGGTAATATTTCATCGTTTACATTTTGCTTGATAACTCCACCATTCATCAGCTATAGACTATAGTAAAGTCGTTCCGAGTATCAAAACCACCACTATTTTCGGCACATTTATTTACTGATGTTAACATCAGTAATGCACCTGTGTTGTGATCATTGCCGTTCATGATATAAATCAGCCATCAATGACGCGATAACTTTTCATCCGTCGAAAACTTACAGACTTGGTCATCTAACGAAATGGCTCGGTGAAAAAGCCGAAGAAATGGGTGTAGAAGTATATCCGGGATATGCTGGGCAAGAGGTGCTTTATAATGAAGACGGCAGTGTTGCGGGTATTGCCACAAACGATGTCGGTATAGCCAAAGATGGATCACCGAAGGTTTGTGTGCCGCTTTGTTGATTTATTTC